CGTTGAGAAGCCGGTCGTTAAAGTTAACGGAATATGGAATTTTCTTTTTTGTTTACGAATCTGGAATCTAATATGAGTCGATGTGGCTTGTGACGGGTGAAAAAGAATAATCTTTTTTTTTCTTTAATGGGTAAAGGACGAAAAAGGTGATAAATATAATATTTTGTGCATGTAGGGGAATAAATTAAATTTCGGTAATCTTGTACTTCTTTAGTTGTGTGTTCTGTACTGTGAATGAGATTGTATTTTTCTAATTTGTAATTTTGTGATTACCAAAGTCTAAAGGTGGCGTTGAGGCTAACAAAATTGACCGACTCTTCTTGTTCAAAATATATGGATTCAACTAATTTTCTTGGATCTTTAAGCCTATAAGTCTTTCTTTCATTAAATAAACCACTTAAATGTTTAACATCAATATCATTAGATATTGGATTAGGTGATGTACATCTAGATTCGATTCGTAGTCACTAACAAACATCATCATTTTGGCCATTTCGTAATTGTTACTTTATCGATATGTTTCAGTGACATTTTATTGTAATTAATTGACAGATAAAAATGTTCATCGTTACAAGTTTTATCGCTTCAAAATTTGAAATAACTATTAATCATTGGAATTGTTGTTGACCTCATGGCAAAAATATACGAAGAATATGGTACTATTTGACATCTAAAAATGATATGTAGAATTTTTTTGGTAGCACAAAGATACATGGTACCAATTCCACATCTAAAATCACACACAGCAAATAGCATAACGACCAAAACATGACCCAAAACCCCTAGTGCCTAAACCTAATGATGTCACAAAAAAAAGACCTAAAACTAATAGGAGTATTCTAGAAGAAAGCCCAATAAAACGTAACCAAAAGGCCCATTAGGTCTATTCATGTAACAATAATTAAATGTTAAAAACGACCAATCAATCAAATCAAACCGACTCATCTCATCTAAAGTCTCAAAGAGCGCCGGTCGTCTCGTCTTCTCCTCGGCGGCTCGAACGCCAAGGCGCTTGCTAAATCCGTTCCCCCCCCCCCACCCGGCCGTCGAGTGTTTAAGTGATC